AAATGGGGGTCTTTCTAATGAAAGCCAGCAAGACACTTTTTTTGATTCAAGAAATAAATACACACTGAACTACGGCACAGAAGAATCATTTTGTCAAATACTAGCACCAGCAACAATATGCGAGTTGGGGGAATAAATATTTAAGAAGTATTGCAGATGTTCATTTTGTCAGCTATGCTATTAATGTCTCCTCCAAATCATGATGGAAGACCAGAAGCACCCCAGCTGTGGCCTTACAACCTGGAGTGCTGAAACAACTTTTCTCTTGTCTCCTCATCTCTCTTCTCTCCTCAGCTGATGAAGTGACTCTAACAGTTAGCAACATGTACTCTTCACAAGCTGCTTTTTGCCTTCCCTTCTCTAACCTTCTGCTTTCAATTCATTAAACCCCTTCCCTATCCGCACCCAAACACACTCTAGTCAAAGGGCATGTTCATCTCAGAACATTTAGTGTCTGTTCTCAGAGCGATACCTGTGGGCTCCTGTCTTCACCCCAGCCTCCCTGCATGCTACCTGCAATAGAAATACAGAACAGGGTTTTCCTGTTGCTTGTTTAAAAAACATAGATTTTTTCCTCTTGCTTCTTTATTTATTACTCAGCTCCTAACCATTATCACTACAGCTCCAATACTGCTCAAGGTACTGAAAGCAACAGTTTGTGCCACTATCATCTAAAGTTAGCTGGTGAGGTTGGGCAGAAGCCCTCCAGAAGTCAGTGTTCAGATGCTGAGCAACAATTGCACACACCTTTCACACCTAACAGCAAGCAAAAACATCCCGATGTAGTAGTCATGACATGGCAAGTGCCTTTGTGGAAATAGCCTAGTCCATAGAAATTGCTGTTGCTGGATTTCTCAATTTCTGTTCATGCTGCACCACTTTATAGACACCTCTCCAGAACAGGACATAGGATCAAAAGTATGGCAGAAAAGTTGATGGACTGTACAGCAATTGAAAAATTTTATTTATTTTTCCTATTACTTGAAAGCCCTCCTATGTGGGCATCAACTCACTGTTCACTCAGAGAAGAGCTGCAGGATCTAAGTACACATATGGAAAAGAAACAACATCCAAGCATCACCACCTCAAGAAGTACGGCAGAAATGGTCAGTAACACAAGCAAAAGAGAAAAGAATCACACTGAGGCAGCCCAGCTTGGGATGGGTTCCCAGCCTTATGCTACACATCTCTCTGGAGATGCTTGTTTTGTTGTGCTTGCATCTGTGAAGGAAATTACACAAAAGACCACTTCTGCTGTCCAGCAATTAATTTTAAGTACTGAAGTACTTACAAACTGCTTAGAATTCTTTAATCTCTTAAATTATGATAGACTGCTTCTTCCTGATGGATGTCTTGTTAATATGGCATTAAACCCATACAAAGGCAGAGTCACTGCCACCTGCAAGGAAGTTCTGTTCAACAACAATAACGAAAAGTTCCCAAAGCACAGTCATAAACATGTGTTTCTGAAGCATTGCATTAATTCAACTACAAATACTTCCAATTCAAGGCAGGCTCTTCAGTAGATAATTAAATATGAATTTAAAATTATACTGAATTTTAAAAATATTAAATGCCATAACACACAAGTTATATAATTCTCAGCTACTTTTATATTCAGAGCCAAATGCAACAATATGCTGTACCTACCAGCTAGAGTATAAACACTAGATGAATGATAACACTGTATTTGGTTATTAAAAGAATAATCTCACTTCTACCCAAACCTCAACATTTTGTGTCTCAAAAAAACATCACAAAAAACAGGTCTGTTAAAGGAACATTTGAAAACCAGAGACAGGCAATCATCAGGTTGGATCTCATAAACGAAGTCACAAGTTCAACTGCCTTCCAAACAACATTTACCTCCGCTGAAAAGTAAGTTTTGCTTGCTTTTGACATCCTGACATCCCAGTCAGTGTGAAGAACGATAATAAGATCTGTCAGTTTCTGGAAAAACTTAACAAACAAGGCTTTTTCTTAAGGAGTTGTTTGATTTGATTTTGCTAGCTTTACCAAGTCTCCCGAGGGGTATATTTTTCTCCACTGTGCCAATGGTCTGCTATAGACACTGTAACAGTGGAAGACTTAACCCCATCAGAAGATACCATCTCGCCCTCTTAATGCAAAAAGGAGCCAGGTTTACTACAGTTTCATTTTAAGAGATTACCCCTGAGAATCAAGTTCAACTACAGTTTATGCCTAAAGCCCAGAAAATGAATATACAGTATGTCTTAACTATATTTTAAAAAAAAATTTTGAATGGCAAATGCAGCTGAAACTCCCCAGAGGAGATGAAAATGTTTCAGTAAATTTATGAAATATTAAGCCCCATGAATTTATGCAAATGTTGAGGATAGCAAGGCAACTCCTACTGTGGTTAAATATCATACCACTAAGTTAAAGAGCTACATCCCCCTCCCAATTAACATTTTCATTTGAAGACTACTCTAATTTGAAATGTCCTCTTTCTCAATTCCATTTTAAAACTTCTTCCTGTGAAGTATAAGTGAACTGCCTTATTTGACACACAAAGTACCATTGAAAACAACTCAGGGCATTAAAAAAAAAATGTTTTTCTTGCTTCAGTATCAAGCACCTGGCAAGTGACTGGAAGGTTCTTGGAAAACCTTAAAGGTTATTAAAAGCATTCCTCATTTTCCCTGGGGACTTAAAACTCAATTATTTTCATTCCTCCTTTTAAGCTATGAAATTACATCATCTCTTCCCCTTTGATTTATACTTTAAAGTACTTTTTCCTGCATTGTTCCTCAATTTGCTAATTCACTAATAAATAAAACTCCTGTTGGCTCCCCTCATGAAATAATGAAAGAGGAAATGTCCAGTATTGCATGTCTCCTGGCAAAACAGAACCATTCATTATATTCAGCTTATTATATATATTTTATGTGTAATTTTAATAATTTGCAATTTATTATTTGTTTCAGCTACGTAGGTCTTTGGCTTAACTTGTCAAATCTTCAAGCAATAAGCTAACAGAGTGCCTTGGAAGATCTCTCCAAAGCCCTGTGATAGAGTAGGAAAGCAGGAGCTTTCCATCTGCTCTGTTTGTTAACTGCCTCTCAAACAGAGCACAAGACAGGGTCAGTTCCAAGTTCCCTTCCTGTGCACTTGGTGCTCTCGAAGCCCAAGGTACCTTCACTCTGGCCCTACACTGGGGCCTGCTGCATTCCAAAGATGGCTACATTTGTGTTAGCTCCCTCTTGTAAAACACTTCCCACTCCATTAAACAGCTGCAGAAATGAGACCTCCGCTCTAAGGCTCTGTGCCTTCTTCCTCTAGCCCCCTGCCCAGCTTTTAAAAAAATTAATCAGCAACAGAAGAAAAACTGCTGTCACTGAACACGACAGGGAAGAACCTGTCTCTCTCATCTTTCATTCTCTTCTATTGCATGCTCATACTAATTGATACAAACCCCTCTAAGTCTCCTCTTCTCTAGGCTGAACACTTGCAGCTCTCAGATTCTCACTGTATGACAGATGCTCCAGCCCCTTTATCATCTTCATGGTCCTGAATGGACGGAGAGTCCTTTAATGGACTCTCTCCATTAAACCTGTTACATTAAGGATCTCAGAACTGGACACAACATTGCAGAAGTTACCTCGCCATTGTGGAGAAGGATCACCTCCCTCAACCTTTACCAATGCTCCTTACACCTCAGCCCAGGTAACACCAGTCTGCTTTGCCACTCAGATGCATTGCTGGCTCATGGTCAGCTTGTCCACCAAGGATCTAAAGATCCTTCTGGACAAAGGTGCTTTCTAGCTCAGTAACCCCCACAGCTTACTGGTGTAAGGGGTTGTAACTCCTTAGGCATAGAACTTTGCACTTCCTCTTCTGGAGCCTCATGAGATTTTGCTGCTCAATTCTTCAGCCTATAGAAGTCCCTCAGAAGGGCAGCCAAGCACTCAGTGTTATCACTCACTCCTCAGTCTTGCATCATTTGTAATTTTACTGAGCTCATACTCCATCTAATCATCAGGTAATTAATAAACCCATTGAATAGCTCTAGCCCCAGAATCATGCACTACAGCAACCCAGAAAACAAATGGAAAGAAACTAGTGAGATAAAAACCCCAAGAGTTCAGCTATTTCAGCTACATGGACAGCACTCCTTTTGCCATGTGATACTTGTACCAAAGTGCACACATAAAAGTCAGTAAGACTGCAAAAAAAAAGCAGTACAAGGTCTCCATACAGTCATTTCCCACAAAGCAGGTCTTGCTTCTAGAATGCAAATAAAACTTCCTGCCTGCCTAAACCAACAATCTCCACTAGGTCACAGTTCCCCCCCAAATACCAGCAATGAGCACAAACGCACACAATCCTCAAAGTCACATAATCTTTCAAAGTAAAAAATTATGCAGCCTTCCTGCTACACAAAAAGTAAAGTAAGCCAGCTTTTGGTTTTCGTTTTCTTGGGGCTCTTATTTCCTTCCTTCTGAAGCAGTCATGACATAGGACCGAATCTGTGTATGGCTATATCCACAAACAGCAACAAACTCTGCTGTGACTTAGCAAAGCCAGCAGTAGTCTAACATTTTAGTAGGGCAAATCACATTATCACAGGCTCACATGATACACAACCAGAAGTCAAGACCAACCTAAATTCCTGCAGTGACTCTCTAGAGCTGAGTTGAACAGTCACACAAACATTTTGATTACAAATGATATCCATACCACTGCTTCTCATCAGTGCCTACTATAATCAGGCAATCAGGCACAATGTTTTCTCATGATCTTTCATCACTTTATAGAAGAGATCAGACTCAGCTGGGACTGACACTGGCAGAGGGAACTGTACTATTTGATGACACAATTTTAATGAAGGAACACACCTCCTACTCCATAGGAGGAAGAAAGACACTACTAAGCAAGCTGCTTCCCAGCATACTTAAGTGTGGCTGTGTGCATATGAGGTTGAATTTCACAGGCCTCATGCCCATTTTGTTACCCAAAAGAAACACAGAATTCCTTACCTGCAACAAATGACTGCTTTACAGGAGAGTGCCAAGTCCAGAAAGCTCTGCCTGACTTCAAATGAAAGGGCATACTTCAGTGTGTGGCCATCAATAATCAGGGCAATATCATTTTCCTTGCCCAGTGACTCCCCCAGACTGGTACAATGTTGAGTCAGAGAAGCTCTTGTTGCCTGAAGGAAAAACAGAAAAAAAATGTTTCTTCCTAATATAAGAAAAGTGCATTCAAACTAGAGCAAGGTATCTCCAGATCACAGCACACATGCACTCAAATTGGCACTGACTTGAGCTAGTGCTATCAGTACCTTGTGCAGACATCCTGACTGGTGTCAGAAATGGGCAAAAGCTGCCTCTGCTTGCCCAGGAACTTGTCTTGTTTCAGAGCAGATTCCAGCATCTTTACTACACACTCCTGAATGATGGATGTGCTCAAAGCAGTTGTGATACAGCCTTTTCAACTGTAGCCCAAATACATCAACTTTCCAAACAGGTAGGAAAAGAATCAGGCCACTTTCACTAAAAGGGGAAGTGTGGGAGGAAAGAGGAAAATTTTCTTTACAATTCATTTTCTCTCATCTCACTCATTAGTATGGGGATCGAAACAAATTCACTCTGATCCACTAGAAAACGAGCCCCAAACTGGAGGCAGATTTACAGATGAAGTTAATGAGTGGGACAGAGAACACAATTCAGCCACTTGAGAGACAGATTTTTGCACCTTCTTCTTTAAAAGAATGACTGCATAATTCCCTGTTTCCCCATTAAAATGTGAGGGATTAGATTTATGACTTCATGGCATGCTTTATCTACACTGTACCTGAAAATCCAATACAAAGGCAATGACTGTGCTTCAACCATTAGAGACCAGTGCTGGGAAAACAAGGGTAAGTCTTCTAGGAAGAAAGCTGTTTTATCTAGTTCAACACTACTGTGCAGGGTCAACATTCACAGAAACTCCAAGGATGGTAAAACAGATACAATTTGGTTAATGCTATCAATAATCGAATTTTATCCCAAGAGCCTCTGCCCCTGGGATCTTGGCGTATCATTTCTTTTTCTTTACTGCTTCCTCTCAGTCTTGCTCAAACATTTTTCTTGCTCTCAAGTGCAAAATTAACCCTTGTCCTTCTCCTGAATGCACACACAGGATTAAACGCTTCTCTGACTATTTGAAACCAAGGGAGAACTCCCTGCCCTTATTCCCTGTCTAGCACTTGGGGCACTTTAGAGGGAACACCCTCATTTTTCACCTGACCCAAAGGAGGGTGAAGGCCAGGGCCCAAGCACTCCCCCCTACAGAGACAGAGGAGAATCTGAGGGCAAGTTCAGGAGGGTTACTGAATATCCATCATCTATTGCTCAAAAGACAAAGCCACAAGAAAACTTATAAAAGGTGATATTTCTCATGAGTTGAGGATACCAGTCCCTCCATTGCTTATTATCATGGATACAGATAAGCCTCATCCAATTAATGTGCTGGTCATGGAACTTACTCATCTTACATGTAAGATGACACAGAACCAGTAACACTGTTAATAATACCCCAACACACTATACATCAAGGATTACAAATGAGACACTTCATTTTACCAGCACTTTGTACAACTTTCAATATACTCCTCCATATGCAAGGCTAACTTGCAACCTAACAGCTTTAGACAGTAAAAAAGCGTGAATTATTATTTCTGTTTCTTCCAACTACTTAAAATTGCTGTGTTTTAAAAAAAGAAAGCCAACTATTACTCTTATAGGCCAGTGCAATTAAGCCAAATAAACCAGACCCCATTCTCAATGGGTATATAATGACGACCTTCTAAGCAAGCAGGGGAACAAACATTTGGAAACCATGGAACTATATCCTTCTGTGGGCAACTCATTAATGGTAACTAGAGTAAAAATCCCTACTTTGATCCCCAGCTTTTACGCTGTGCTTGACATTAAGGGATAAGTTTCTGTGAGTCACATCAAGCAAGACTAAGTCAATCCTTTACTAGAACAAGCATGATGGAGCAGAAATCAATAGTAATCCTAAGAAAGTATCTCACATCTGTGGAATACCCCTGCCTTTTTTACTGAATATCCATAAAGCCTAAATGGTAAGTTTGTCAGGGCATCTGACAGAAATAGAGTACTAAAAACAAATAACGCAAGCCTTTCACTTAGCCATAATAAACTTGGTTTTCCTTCCCAGGCACAGAGCATCCAGCTGCCCTGGGGAAACCCAGAGAGGCACCTGCCAATCAAACCTTATGGTGGTGGCATATTGACTTCCATCAAATATTAAAAATATACAGCTTTACTTGAAAGTCAGAAGGGGCAAAAACCAAAAAGTCCATCTTCTAAGTAGCCTTGATTCAGTGGGTTATTCTAATAAATATAGACACTTCGTAAGCCAGTAAAGGACGTGCACATGCTTAAGCGGTCAGTTGAATGAGTAACATTATCAGTTTAGAGCTTTACAAGGGCTCATAAGACCACCAAGTGTCAGAGAACAAATATGAAAAAAAACCAAACCAGATTGTAAAAAGTCAACTACAGAACTCAAACTGAAAAAGCTAAGGAAATGAGGTTTCAATTTATTTTTATTCTACTTTTAGACCTTAGACATGATGAAGGGATTTGTTTCTAAAAACATGAACAATTCTGACATAAATGCATTTAAGGGTTAAAGATGTTACAGTCTCTGTGCTTGAGTTAAATTTAAGACATAGTGCTACATTCCATAGTAAACCTATCCCACCTGCTCTTCCTGTTTGTTTTTTCATTTCCATTTTAACAAGTTGGGACCACAAATAGAAACCCTCAGCAGAGCATTTACTTGCATTACTGCCTTAAAATAAACTTTCAGATTTTACTGTTCTCTGTGTGCATAGTTTCCATACAGAACATGAAGTAACATCATTAGTTCACTATTATAAATCTTCATAGCAGACTAAATTTGTTGACAGACAGAAAACAAAAACATCCTGAAGCAGAGTTTGTGTGGTCTTTTCTGGACTGTACACTCAGGCTCTTTAACAAACCTTGTGATAGCATGCCTGCATATTCTCACTTCCTAAAACCTAAGGAAAAATCCCTGCTGTGCCCAGCTTTATGAATTACAATACTAACAAACATTCTGGGGTTTACCAGGCTATTATTTTGTAGGTTAATAGAGCACATATCAATACTTGTTACATGATGCTTGAAGTCAACTGTGAAGTCAGCACAATCAGAAACTCGGCTGATTTCACTAAAAACAAGAGCAGTCTCCTCATGCTGTAATAAGAAACATTAGGAATGTTGTATAGGTTACTTAATTAGAACTTAAGCATTTTTTGTGTACACCATGTGCCTTTGGGCGGTGCTTGTTGTTGCTGTTCTTGAGAGTTTTTTTTGCTCAGTTTTGGTTGGGTTTTTCTAGAAGCAGTGCATCATACCATGCATTCCCTCCCACCAGAGCTTCAGACACAACAGCAAGAAATGTTGGTGTTTGAGGCAATGAAGTGTCCAACACAGAATGACAGTATCAGATGCTTGCCAAGAAAAAAAACAACTCAGAAGGACTTGGAAAAATTGAGTGCAGAAGACTCCAGCAGGATAACAGCCACTCCCTAAAAAAACGCTGATATCCAGAGAAGAATTGGACAATTATTATAAGACAATCAGTTCTAAATCTCCTCTTTCCTGCCCTGCATTTCCCTGGAAAGGCTCACAAACTCACTATAGCAGGAGATAGGACAAAAGTTTTTGCAACCACTACACTCATGGTTCATTGTAAGCATACAGCCATCCATGGCCCATAAGGAAAGACATCTCAGGAAGAGAAGTCAGTGGCTTGTAGCATCAGGTAGGCCAGAAGGCATCTTTAGCTGAAGAGAGCCACTCAGCCCTGGATCTGACAGACATACTCCATACCCTCTGACAGACATACCCCCATACAGCTAAAATTAGCCTTACATTCTGGCTGCCCACATTTCATGCCCGCTTGGGTGGAGCATGGTGCTAATCATGCCATGATCATGGGTATGGCCTTCATATGGGCCATTCACTTTAGAGCTGGACTCAATGGTCCTCTGAGTTCTTTCCAATTCAGAATATTCAGTGATTCATCTTTCTTGAACAGCCATTCCTCCATCTCCAAAGACCTAAAATGAGCCTCACAAAACAAGCTCCTTCAGTAAGAGATGTTAAACTTACACATTAGGCTTACTTACTTACACTATAAGCTAAGTCAATCACAAACTATTTGCTTCTGTAGTTATCTTGGAAGTACTGCTAGCTACAGCAGCTTGAAGGGTTTTCCAAGCTAACTTCTTTCACCATCCTATATTTAATTTCTAAACCACTAGTTCTGGTATGAATGAGGTTAGATAAATTACACAATCTGCTAACTCACTAGAGTGCACTGAAGTGCCAGCTCAATTTGTTTTACCAATCCATGAATTTACTTTTTACAGCTGCTGTTTTCCTTCCCATCCACAGATAATCTGAATCATCAGATGTAACAATTCTTTCACCATGCTGAAAAAAGTGGTTTCAATCAAAATATCAGGCACATCCCTTTCCCCCAGTGTTAAGTGAAAATTATTCCAAGAGAAATTGAAATTAAGCAAGGAATCCATTGCATAATCCCAATCAAGATAACACTGGCCAACCCTACTTCATGGGAAATGTTCCAATTTTCATTGCAACCTAGAAGTTTCACCACGTTAAGTGAAATCTTTGAATTCAATCTGCCTGGCTGCTGTGCCAAAGAGATCTGTAAAGACTTCTGGCAGAAGCAAATTTACAGGAAAATAAGAATAACCAACATAGAGGCAAGAAAACCTAATGCTTAAACCAAAGCTGGCAAAACTATTAGAACTATTTAAACACCCCTTTGACAGAAGAGTCACTGGAAGTGCTTGCCACAATAAATAACACATATGCAAGAGCTAAACTTGAAACCTGTCCTAGAACTTAGAAAGAAATACCACTTTCAGAACAGATCCTCACTTTTGCCAATCTTCCAAGTTTGGTACCAGACTTGACTAGGTCAGCAAACTACTTCAACTTCCAAAAGCAAACAGGGAACTTCCAAAGACCTAGTTATAAGGAAGGGTGCAAGCATATAGCCACAAACCCTAGTGAAGATTACGTCATGTTTATGACAGTAGTCCAGCTACAGGACTTGTCAGTTCCTCTGTTCCCA